CAGACATACTGAACATGCAAAAATCACTGTGTTTCTACATCAATGCAGTTCTTTGACAACAACTGTCTCTCACATCATTGCTGTGTTTCGCGTACGCCAGTGTTTCGCGAACAAAAACAAAAACTGTGCTTCACAAGACTGCAGTGCTTCACATCACTGTCGTTTGGTTTCAAATTTGTTTGAAATAAGACATGCAAAACATCTTTGGTTCACACATGCCAAAAAAAAACTTTCCTTCACACATCACACGTCCCCCTTTTAAACTGGCGGCGTCCGGAGACGTGCAAAACTAAAAACCAAAACAGTTCCACCTGCCACGCAAATTTCTTCAAGAAAATCATGCAACATGCAGGTCAAAACAAAGAAAAAACGTTTGTTTGGGTTTTGGTTGTTTCCATGCGACATGCAAAAAAAACGAAATAAACATGCTCAGGGGTCCTTTCTTCCAGCACGAACGGCGGCCAAAATGGCCTTTGCCAGTTCTTTGTTGTACACACCGGTTGCTGTCCAGTTTACATCATACATCCCTGCATGCTTTTCACACTCGCACCAACCAAAACGCTTTGTGAGCAAATTGCAAAAACCAGCTGACGCACTACAAAAGATAAGCACTTTACCGATAGGCAATCCATTTGGTGCTTGCATACCGGTTTGACATAAAAACACTTCAGCATCAAATTGCAAACCACATTGTTTCAAAACTCCTAGAGAACCCATAGGAACCTATAGGAACCAGGTAGGAACCAATTTGGAACCAAATGGAACCAGTTTGTGCATGGAAGAGCTTGGAGATGGATTTTCGTTTGTTTTTGTGGTTTGTGGTGTTTTTGGATGTTGTTTGACCCATGTCCTAGGAACTTGATGTTGTGACTGTATTGGGTAGGAGTTTTGTAGGGTATTTGTGAGTTTGAGCTGAAGACGTTTTATTTGGAGAAGCTGGAAGAACGTTTTTAAAGCTTGAGAACTCTTTTGAAGTAGTTTGAGAAGTTTGAGAACGTTTGAGTGTCACTGCGTTTTACTCTGCACGACTCTTCTAAGAAGAAGAGTGACTGAGCTGTCCAACCTGTGTGGTTTGGCTCAAGTCCGAGCTGTGAAAAAGAGCTGCCACGCCGCGCTCGTGTTTTCACATGGTAGCGGAGCCATGAAATCTCTATAGAATCGCTGACACCAAGGTCGTCTATAAAATTGCAGACGTTGACACTGGATAGGTACCCCCAAACAAAGGATGGCCCTAAAACGCACCATGTTTCGAAGCTTATAATTCTCGAGAGGATATTGCAAGGAGGAAAATTTAAATCAGGATGAATGGTTACAAGCCCTTGCGATTTCTATCAACCTAGGCAGCAACGTCGCAAGGCAAGGTCCGGAAAAACAGCCATTTTGATTCACATATCTGCCAACGCACGCGCGGATGCCTGCGGATGCCCCTGCGGATGCGGGAGAACCCTTGCGAAGGACCACTGCGGATGCCAAAAACCACCAAAAAATGGCCGCGGATGCATTTCCGGCGTTTGAGAAATACAAAGTAATAGAAAGCAACCCGCCCTGCGGATGCCCAATGGGGTGTGTGGCACATTGTATGGGGGGGATGGGGTTTTCTGCCGTTTCCTCCCCTTCCCTCGGTGACGCCTTCGTGTTGCGGAGTTGGTGGATGTCACCATGCAAGTGCCACGCCTGCCACGTGAAACGAAGGTGGATGTTGCCAAGTGCCACGCCTCGCCTGCCATGCAAAGTGAAGGTGGATGTCACCAAGTGCCACGCCTGCCACGCAAAGAGCCGAGAGCCGCGGCGTCCACGGCGTCAGCTGAGAACCCGGTGCGCCACCTGCCGTAAGTGCCACGCCTGCCACGTGAAACGAATGTGGATGTGAGCAAGTGCCACACCTGCTACGTGAAACGAAGGTGGATGTCGCCAAGTGCCACGCCTGTCACCTTAGTGCCATGCCTGCCACACAAAGTGAAGGCGGATGTCACCAAGTGCCACGCCTGCCACGCAAATTGCCGCGGTGTCCACGGCGTCAGCTGAGAACCCGGTGCGCCACCAGAGCCCTCCCAGGGCCGTAAGTGCCACAGAAACGAATGTGGATGTGACCAAGTGCCACGCCTGCCACATGAAACGAAGGTAGATCGCCAAGTGCCACGCCTGTCACGTAGTGCCATGCCTTCCACGCAAAGTGAAGGTGGATGTCTCCAAGTGCCACGCCTGCCACGCAAAGAGGCGCGGCGTCCACGGCGTCAGCTGAGACCCCGGTGCGCCACCAGAGCCCGCCCAGGTCCATTAAGTGCCACACTTGCCACGTGAAATGAATGTGGATGTGACCAATTGCCACGCCTGCCACGTGAAACGAAGGTGGATATCTGCAAGTGCGAAATGAATGTGGATGTGACCCAGTGAAACGCTTGCCACGCAAAGAGTTGTGGCGTCGAAGGCGTCAGCTGAGAACCCAGTGCGCCACCAAAGCTCGCCCAGTGCGGAAAGTGCCATGCCTGCCACGTGAAACGAATGTGGATGTGACCAAGTGCCACGCCTGCCACGCAAAGTGACGCTCGATGTCGCCAAGTGCCATTGCACGCCTGCCACGCAAACAGCCGCGGCGTCCACGCCGTCAGCTGAGAACCCGGTGCGCCACCAGAGCCCGCCCAGTGCCGTAAGTGCCACGCCTGCCACGTGAAACAAATGTGGATGTGACCAAGTGCCACGCCTGCCACGTGGAACGAAGGTGGATATCTTCAAGTGCGAAACGAATGTGGATGTGACCAAGTGCCACCACGGCGTCAGCGGAGAACCCGGTGCGCTACCAAAGCCCGCCCAGTGCCGTAAGTGCCACGCCTGCCACGTGAAACGAATGTGGATGTGAGCAAGTGCCACACTTGCTACGTGAAACGAAGGTGGATGTTGCCAAGTGCCACGCCTGTCACCTAGTGCCACGCCTGCCACGCAAAGTGAAGGTGGATGTCACCAAGTGCCACGGTGGGCCACGCAAAGAGCGGAGAGCCGCGGCCTCCACGGCGTCAGCTGAGAACCCGGTGCGCCACCAGAGCCCGCTGAGTGCCCTAAGTGCCACGCCTGCCACGTGAAACGAATGTGGATGTGAGCAAGTGCCACACCTGCTACGTGAAACGAAGGTGGATGTCGCCAAGTGCCACGCCTGTCACCTAGTGCGACGCCTTCCACGCAAAGTGAAGCGCCTGCCACGGAAAGAGCCGAGAGCCGCGGCGTCCACGGCGTCAGCTGAGAACCCGGTGTGCCACCAGAGCTCGCCCAGTGCCGTAAGTGCCACGCCTGCAGCCACGTGAAACGAATGTGGATGTGACCAATTAAGTGCAACGCCTGCCACGTGAAACGAAGGTGGATGTGACGCCTGCCGTGTGAAACGAATGTGGATGTGACCAAGTGCCACGCCTTCCACGCAAAGTGACGCTCCATGTCACCAAGTGCCACGCCTGCCACGCAAAGAGCCGAGAGCCGCGGCGTCCACGGCGTCAGCTGAGAACCCGGTGCGCCACCAGAGCCCGCCCAGTGCCGTAAGTGCCACGCCTGCCACGTGAAACGAATGTGGATGTGACCAAGTGCCACGCCTGCCACGTGAAACGAAGGTGGATGTCGCCAAGTGCGAAACGAATGTGGATGTGACCAAATGCCACGCCTGCCATGCAAAGAGCCGCGGCGTCCACGGCGTCATCTAAAAACCCGCTGCGCCACCAAAGCCCGCCCAGTGCCGTAAGTGCCACGCCTGCCATATGAAACGAATGTGGATGTGACCAGTGCCACGCCTTCCACGCAAAGTGACGCTCGATGTCACCAAGTGCCACGCCTGCCACGCAAAGAGCCGAGAGCCGCGGCGTCCACGGCGTCAGCTGAGAACCCGGTGCGCCACCAGAGCCCGCCCAGTGCCGTAAGTGCCACGCCTGCCACGTGAAACGAAGGTGGATGTCGCCAACTGCCACGCCTGTCACCTAGTGCCACGCCTTCTGTGGACAAGTTGTGTGTGGACAAGTTGTATGTGACAAGTTGTGTGTGGACAAGTTGTGTGTGAGCCATGCTTGCCACGCAAAGTGACGCTCGATGTGTGTGTGGACAAGTTGTGTGAGGACAAGTTGTGTGAGAGCAAGTTGCGTGAGAGCAAGTTGTGTGTGGACAAGTTGTGTGTGAGCAAGTTGTGTGTGGGAGGAGGGCGGGAGGAAGATGTGGGGAAAAAAATGACCAACGCAATTGGGGCCGGAACCTTCATTTGATCGAATTACAATTTGCGGTTCGAAAAACAAAAACTTTCGGGCAAAACATCAATGAATGAGGCATTGTAGCGTTGACACCACCCAAACACAGTCTCATTTGGGGCGTCACAAATTCGCCCAACATGAATCGTTTATACAACAAATTTGAATCTAGATGTACATTCTGTAATTCTGTATTCTATCATTGTGAGTTGTCATTGAGGGTGATTGTTGGCGCAAATTCCGATGTGAATTGTCGAGTGCAAAAATTGAAACCTACGTAAAAAAACAATGTTTTTGGTGCCAGTGTGTCCCTTGATTTAAACAATTTTCATGGTGCAGAATGATAATGATTGAACATAATCTGCAACAACGCCTGGCAGCGCATGTCAGGTCACCATTTTCTGTTGCAAGCCTTTGACAGTGACCACGGAGGTCTAAATGCCTCTGTAAGATTGTATGGCAATTAACAGTCAAAATTGGTGAACTGTTCGAAGGTGATCGCAGTTTTAGGGCACGTCGGTTTGTTTGTGAACTTGGTTGAGGGTTGAACGTTCCATCAAAAACCGTTCTCACAGAAGTTGCCATGTCAACCCTGCAAAATGGTCACCGAACAAATTTGTGAAAATGAACCGATCGGACTTGCGGTTTCCAAATTTCCGCCGCACTTGTACTAGGAAACAAAATGGCATTTTTGTTACATGCATTTACATCCTGATTTTTGGAATGGGGATATCAAATTCCTTGCTTTTTGTGACGCCAACATTTGATGCTTCATTTTGGCACCTCAGAGGAAGCTGAGAAGCCTCAAGTGACGCAACGAGCGACGCATCGACCCCTGACTTACCATGGCTCCCAAGACCGCGGCAAAGGCTGAGGCCAAACCAAAGGCTAAGGCTGACGCGAAGGCAAAGGGCAAGGCCAAGGCCTGACAGAACACATGTGACAAAGATATTGCATGATCCATGATCAACTAAAGGATGAATATTTTTATTTTGTATCAACATTTTGAAACAAAAAAACCAAACATGCCTTAAACTCGGCAAAAACAACAGTCAAAAATGTGCTGGCACCCACTGGAATCGACACCACGGGACGTTTCAATAGTGTTTTGCTGTCAAATTCCTTGTCTCTTCATGGGTCATTTTGGTGGTTTTGACGTTACAGGCAAAGAAGGAGGAGATGCCAGCGGAGGAGGAGAAGAACAAGGTGCCACAGCCTGACCGTACTGAGCATGATGCGAAGGTCCTTGGCTCAATTTTGGCATCGAAAAAACAATCGAAATTTCTCTGAAATGGCATGCGTTCTGCACTTCAGCTAGCCAATTTTGATGATTTTTGCCCAAAATGCAAGGGTTAGTGGGGAATTGGGTGGGCAGTTCCTATTCTGTGGCACCAAGGTTCAGAAGGTTCAAGACGAGATCGACAAACTCACCAAGAAACAGAAGGAACTTTGGCCAGAAATTTGTCAAACAGATGCTTGTTTTCATGTCAATAAACATGTTGGTTTGATAATGGAGGGCTAATTATTTTAGTTTTTTTTTTGATCAGGTTTAGGAATTATTTTTGGATTCCTGCTTCTCTGCTTTTCCTGCTTTTCCTGCTTCTCTGCTTTCCTGCTTTTCCTGCTTTTCCTGCTTTTCCTGCTTTTCCTGCTTTTCCTGCTTTTCCTGCTTCTCTGCTTTTCTGCTTTTTTGCTTTTCTGCTTCTCCTGCTTCTCTGCTTCTCTGCTTTTCTGCTTTTTTGCTTTTCTGCTTCTCCTGCTTCTCTGCTTCTCTGCTTTTCTGCTTTTTTGCTTTTCTGCTTCTCCTGCTTCTCTGCTTCTCTGCTTTTCTGCTTTTTTGCTTTTCTGCTTCTCCTGCTTCTCTGCTTCTCTGCTTTTCTGCTTTTTTGCTTTTCTGTTTTTCCTGTTTCTTTGCTTCTCTGCTTTTCCTGCTTCTCTGCTTTTCTGCTTTTCCTGCTTCTTTGCCTTTCTGCTGTTTTGCTTTTGTGCGTTTCCTGTTTCTTTGCTTCTCTGCTTTTTTGCTTCTCTGTTTTTTTTTTTGCTTTGCCTGCTTTAAATACTTGATTTTCATGTAAGATGCATTTTGCACAGTATTTACATCCCTGAGTATCACATGACCAACCTTCTCTTGAAAACTAGCAACGTAACATGTGAGAAGAGGTGCTTGCATTCTGCTTTGGGGGGAGCAGCGCCTCCCCCCAATCCCCCCCTCCCGTTTTTTTTTATTTAAACTTAAACCCAAGTTACATTAGTTGGTTTTTGCGAACTAACCTTCTCTGGAAAGCTGACAGGTTTACATGTGATAGATAGATAGATAGATAGATAGCTGATAGATAGCTTGGTAGATAGATAGCTAGATAGATAGATAGCCAGCTAGATGGATAGATAGCTAGAGAGATAGATAGCTAGATACCTCGATAGATAGATGGCTAGATAGATAGCTAGATAGATAGATGGCTAGATAGATAGCTAGATAGATAGATAGCTAGCTAGCTAGATAGATAAAGAGGTAGCTAGATAGATAGCTAGATAGATAGATAGATAGAGGATAGGTAGATAGAGTACCTCGATAGAAGAGCTAGATAGCTAGCTAGGATATAGATAGATGGCTAGATAGCTAGATACCTCGATAGATAGATGGCTAGATAGATAGATAGATAAAGAGGTAGCTAGATAGATAGCTAGATAGATAGATAGATAGATAGCTAAATAGATAGGTAGATAGTTAGCTAGATAGATAGATAGCTAGATAGATAGCTCGATAGCTAGATAGCTGGATAGACAGCTGGATGGCTAGATAGATAGATAGCTAGATAGATAGAAAGCTAGATAGCTAGATAGCTAGATAGATAGTTAGCTAGATAGCTCGATAGCTAGATAGCTGGATAGACAGCTGGATGGCTAGATAGATAGATAGATAGATAGCTAGATAGATAGAAAGCTAGATAGCTAGATAGCAAGATAGATAGTTAGCTAGATAGCTAGATAGGTAGATAGATAGCTAGCAAGATAGCTAGCTAGATAGGTAGATAGATAGCTAGATAGATAGATAGCTTGCTAGATAGATAGCTAGCTTGCTAGATAGATAGCTAGCTAGATAGCTAGCTAGCTGGATACATAGCTAGCGCCCTCCCTCAATCCCCCCACCCGCTTTTTATCTAATCCCAAGCTTCCGCATCTGTAAATATTTGGGTGAACATGCTCACATGTAGAACATCCCATGCAAAATGGAAGGTGAACATGCCAAAATGTGGCAAATACCATACAAAATGGAAGGTGAACATGCCCACATGTAGGAAATCCCATGCAAAATGGAAGGTGAACACGCCAAAATGTGGCAAATACCATACAAAATGGAAGGTGAACATGCCCACATGTAGTAGATCCCATGCAAAATGGAAGGTGAACATGCCCAAATGTGGCAAATACCATGCAAAATGACAAATTCAAGTTCCAAACCGTTGCAAACACTAGGCAAATGGTACCAGCCAAGAAATCCAAAAAAAATTCCCAAACCTGCTCAAAAAAAATTTCCTAAAACTATTTCACACCCATATTTGATGTTCGTACTGTCACATTCTTGCACAGAACGTGGGTCTTGCCTTTGCAACACACGTTTGAAGGATGTTTCCAGACTACAAATTGAGATTCACGGACATGGTTTCATCCTTTTGCACCCCGAATTGCTCACCTTTCCAGCACCTAGCACCTATGACGCAGGCAGAAAACGGTGCAGGCAAAATTGGAAAGAAAAACAGTGAACATACGTAGAACAGGAATTTGTCACTATTTCAGTTTAAAACAACACCCCGAAAAGATTAAAGAATAGGAAAACTGAAAAGTCAGGGGAAAACATTATCATCTATACTATCCTGGAAACATTTTTTTTTTTTTGAGGCTCCTTGCCAGCGCCAGAAATTGGATTTTCCTCATGTTCCTGTGTCCTTTGGGCAATGGTCATAATCTGATATGATGTCTCAAATAAGGAGGAGGCCGACACAGGGAAGAACACATATTCACCTGTAAAATGCACTCTTCCAGAACAATGGTAGTCATTAGGTTCAAAATGTGGCAAATTCCAAGAAGAAAACCCACCTTGGAAAAGAAAGTAAATATATCTCCACTTTGAAACATCATATACAGATATATACAGTCGAATATGTATGACATAAAATTCAAAATTGCAGTGGGTAAGCCTACGGATCAAAACATCGAAAAAACACGACAACAACAACAACAAGAACAAGAACAAGAACAACAACAACAACAACAACAACAACAACAATGTTTTGGGGACTGCTTGGATCTGGCCATGTTCAGACTAGTCTGGAAAACATTGTTTTTTTTTGTTTTTGTGCGTGGTTTCAACCAAGTTAAACTGTATTTCCAGTAGAAAAGGCTTGTGCATGGACAACAAAAAAAACAATATATGGCAATATATGGCAACAAACCTTTCAGTTTTTTTTGTCTCTTAGCATGCCATAGAGTTGGCTCCTGGAGGAGATGTCGGAGAAGATCAAGCAGCGTTCCAGTGGCAAGGAGGACTTCTATGCCAAGAAGGCGCCAGCGATCCAAGAAAAGTCGGACATTTTTTAGAGGAAAAAAACCGTGAACGAATTGTGATGAACATTGTAAGGTCTGTAAGGTCATCTCAAAATTTGTAGAACATGATTAAAAAAAATGATAGATTGATAGATCTCATTTTTGAGGTATTTTCACAGTGTTTCCAGGCCGAGCTGCGTGCGCAATTGGATGAACTCACCGGCAAGATGGATGAGTTGCAGGCTGTGGGGTGGTGGATTGCAGTGGGCTTTCCACTTGTAAAACAATCTGCATGAATTGCATTATATACATGAATGATTCATGATAGCGTGGTCAGGCCCTGATTTGGAAACACAAAAACAGATGTCGATCATGTCGACGTATTGGGGTCCAAAAACTCGGCGAAGGCAAGGAAGGAGGACATCGAAAAGGCCGTGGGCAACAAACGTGAGGAGGGACGTGAGATGCGCTCCCAGCTGAACACCATGAAGCGCCTTGGCATTTCTTGGATGACCTTCAACGCCCGAGAAAGCAACCCACAGAGTTAGATGATAGACCGAAAAAATAGAGTAAAATCATCCTGAGATAGTGATAGAGATGTCGCACACGTTTCTGTTTTTTTGATGGTGACTTTTTCTCGTTGCCCCCTCGTTGCCTCATGGTCTGACTGCCTTAGGAAGACCATCGGCTACAACAGCGAGCAGGAGATCGACAACCGCATCGCCAGCATCGAGTTTCAGCTCTGCACTGAGTCTGTGCCCCTGAAGGACGGGACCCGCGGGACAGATGGGACAGCGACAGTCACGATTGGGAACTTGGTGATGTATCAGTGATCTGCGGAGCTAAATTGATATGATCAATATTTAGAGATTTGGTCACATCGTTGATCTAAAATGGACATTTCACCCGTCCAGTCGACTTGGCTCTTCTTAGGGGCCCAGGGGGCTGCTTCGGTTGCTTCGGTTGCGAGGAAGAGAAGAAACTCCTCGAGGAGATCAAGCAGCTGAAGAAGAACCGCTCCAAGGTGAATCAAGTCCAGCAGATGGAGCAGCCCCTTGCCCTTGCCGCCCTTGCTATGCTTGCCATGTCTCAGACTGGTATGACTTGGGTATGACTTTGGGTATGACTTTGGGTGTGACTCTGAATTTTCTTCCCAAAGCGGAACTCCAACTGCCAAGTTTTGCTGTTACTCATGAAATCTGTGGCTGAGATGGAAAAAAAACAAGATGCCGAGTTGAAATCCGTTGAAGTCAGGTTCTGCCAGAATTCCACTGAGGAACCTGTCCAACTTCGATCCAGGCATGTCCATGAAGGAGCAGAAACAGGCCATCAGCCAGGAGCTGCCGCCATGGCTGAAAACTAAGAACCCCAGTGACTGGAGATCCCTGCTGGTGATGGAATCTTCCGGTGAAAGGTTCACATTGATTCATGACCCTCAGATACCATGATGCCATGGCACTTTTAGGGAAGGAGAAGCAGCTTCTCTCATAGGTTGACTCCCGACTTGATCTTTGTGATTGCATCAGCCTTTTGTCTAGTCCCTCAGGAGATGCAGAGCTATCGCGAGGAGAAGAAGAAGATCCAGGCCACGACTCTGGATTTGCTGGTTGTTTCTGGCATTATTTCAACAGGATGTCATGACTCAAACAACTAAAGTAACCAAAACAGCCCCCCCCAAATCCGAAAACTGAACGGATTTTGGATTCAGTCTGGGTGTCTTTTTTGGAGTTGGGGGAGGATTTGGCTTTTTGGAGTCGGATCCCACAAAGGCTCCCCAGTCTTGGTCAGGAGAAGATGACCGAGCTGCAGAAAGAGCGCCAGGCTCAGTTGGGCGATGTGTCTGGAGATATCGAGAAGCGCGATGCCCTGAGCAAGGAGATTCAGGCGCCACACTGAGACGACTGTCAGTATGGCGGCTTATAGCGACAAAAAGACGGGTGCCCTGAAATTCACCAATGAATTTGGGACTTGACAGCTCAATAGGATCCCATCAAATCTGTCAAAATGAATCTGAGAGGACAAGATCAAGGAGCGCAATGAGATCAGGGATGAGTTCCGCCAGAAGGAGCGTGAGTACAACGCTTACCAGGCACGGTGAATTTAGGAGTGGACTGCAGCGGGAGCAAGACGAGATCAAATCTAATCTGGTAAATCCATGTCAATCCAAAATAAACCATCCTCAATATTGCCATCCCCAAATGGTAGGTTTATTAATGTTTATCAATGGATTTACCACATCACCAAGGTTGTGGTTTGGTCGGCCCTGGCTCAGGCTGAGTTGAAGAAAGCCCGACAGGCGCCAGTGGGTTGATATTGTGTCGAATCTGTGGTCCTTTTGGGTTCTCAAGTTGGACCTGGAGAAGCTGTCCTGTAGCCGTTTTTGGACAAGCATAGGATCGTTATTTTCCGGGGAAACACCAACCTATTGCAATTTTGGTATTTTTCTTGGTGAAATTCGTCATTTTGGCTGCTCAAATTCCATTTTTCTTGGCCAAATCCCGGTGTTTTTTGGTGTCCAAAATTTGGCTGGTGAAATTTTCCGCATCTTCCATCGGTGAAATTCTAGCCATTTTCGACTTAATTTTTTCCATCAGCACATCACTTTTCTTTGCCCATTTCTGGGTGGGTTTTTGTATATGGCTATGGATCAATACCTATATAGATACCATTTTTAGTGGGATGAACATCCATTTACCAGCTATTTACCAGCTATTTACCAGCTATTTTGATGTGAACTACAGGGGATTCCATGGGTTTTGACACACTGCCAGGAGAAGATCCTGGCCGAGAAGGCAGAACGCCAGAAGGAGATCGACCGGCGCCGCAAGGAACGCAAGGCTGAAGAGTTGGACACCCAGCCCTACATCTCTGAGCCTTGGGGATGGAGGTTGGCTTGTTGGGACAATTTTGTGATAATATGACTTTATATTACTTTTGTTTTTACAGGAATATGATTAATTAAGAATCATTTTCAGAGGTTTTTGAATTGGAGCAGGCTTGAACATGTGAAAGGTCTTCAAAGTCACTCGGTTTTTTTGAGGCGGATGACATTTATGTTAATTTATGTGTCTGAGATTTTGAACAAGGGCTTCGGGAAGGAAAACCGGATCCAAAGTCTTCCGAAAGGCAGCCAACTGGAGGGGACGGGCACTCTTGAGCGTGACCTCTTTAAAATTTTGCTTCAGGCCTGAACTTGCTTCAGACTAAAACCCTTGTTGTCAGTGACTTATAGACTTATAAAGTTTCAGGTTGACATCCTCCCTGATTTGGATGTATTTGGATGTGTTTGGATTGAAGTTCCAAAAAGTGATAGAAGCAGCAGAGCTTGAGCCTGATTTTCCAGATCACTAAGGAGATCACCCTCATTGAGCAGACCATCCTCTTCTGCAAGAACCTGGTCCAGACCAAGACCGAAGACAAGAAGGTCTAAATGTAGGGATGGGATGGGATGGGTGAGCAGTGCCAGAGCTTCCTGGTGGTTGATGATCATAATATATCATAATAATGATTATATTTCAGGGGATTATACTGCTCAATATATTGGAGAGTGAATGTCCTGGGAATCCAACCATAAACCAGCCAGAAGAATGGAAAGACAGGTTGTTAACATTGCTTGGTGTAAAAGAGCTGTCTTACCATCTGGAGGATGCACATTCACTAGCTACCAACTATTTTAAACGCCGTTTCCAGGGCAAAATGACCGATGACGCAGCCGGTGGCAGGATGAGAAGAAGGAGGTCGTGCACAACACAAAGGAAGGTGAAGAGGTTCTTCTTCGCAAGGAGGACGAACATGGACGAACGGCTGTTTGGATAGAACTCTATTGGGGAAGCAGCTGTAGTGCCTTCCCAACATTTCCCAACACCGCACTCACTTCGGTCCTTCATGAGATAATTCTAAGTCAATCTCTACCAGTCGATCTTTCCCATGACCCTCTGAGCCTCAAACAGGAAAGAGAGGAGGAGTTTTACTTCGCACCTACTAAGGGCAAGAAGAGCAAGAGCAAGAGCAAGAGCAGTTGCTTGACCAATGTTTACTATCCCAAATTAATTATATTGGCTATTGGTGGTGAAATTCCCTTTTTGCCACCAAATTTCCTCATTTTGAATTTGATTGGTGCTAAAATTCTATACATGCCAATGGCATGCATCCTGTATCCACATTCATCTATTACTAATAGTCTATTACAGCATTGGATGAAGACAACTAATGCAGGACGCCCTATATATACTTCCTGGCAGACGGAAACGTGGTTGGTTTCGTCTCCATTTTCCCCAAAGACACCAGACGCTGAAAGAACCTTCCATATCTCTTTCAGCATTTGTGCAGGAACCATCAAGACCATCTGATTTCCCCAGAAATTTCGCCCAAGAGAAAATCACATCACACTCAACATCAAATCACACTGCGTATATATATATATATATCTACATAATTTTCAACATCTCCATCCATCTTGTCCATCCAATGTTTCAGCTTTCCAGGCGACAGCGCTCCTGCGGCCAAGCCCATTCGTCACAACGCGGGAACCTTCAGCCTCTTCAAGCAGCTGGACCTGGATGCCCCGATGTCCACCGAGGAGGTGCCGGCCTTGATCGAGAAGTTGGAAGGGATGTTGGAGGACTACAAGGTGCGTTGCGTTGTCGTTGTGCGTTGCGTTTTTTGGGACACCGTTGGTTGGTAGGGAGAGGTGGGTACGGAAGGAATAGCAGGGAGGATTTAAATGTGTGTGTCTCTCTCTCTCTATAATATACATAATTATATGTATATATATATATATGTATGTATGTATGTATGTATGTAATGTATGTATGTATGTATGTAATGTAATGTAATGTAATGTAATGTAATGCAATGCAATGCAATGCAATGCAATGCAATGGAATGGAATGGAATGGAATGGAATGTAATGATGTTATTTTATCTTATCTACTGTATTTGGTATGATCCTGATGTGATATGATAGATTTAGCCGAGCGAGATGGGTCCATTTTTTGACGTGGTATGGCCTTTCCCTGCGGGGTGATTCGGAATGGTGGACGACTGCTGGAGTCGGGAGTTCCCCCCAACAATTTCGGCTGCAATGCTGCAATCAATGTGTATATATATATATGATTTAACATGTCATACATGTATTATATATAGATACTCTTATGGTACATACTCTTTGGTAATCAAGTAATCAAACATGTCTTGCTGGAACCGATCCATATTTAGATGCCCGTGGAAAGTACGGATCAGGGATTTCCCAGCTAGCCATGTTGGATTACCCATATGAGCGAATACAACTTTATATGATATTCATATTCCATTGACATTCTATTCATATTCCATCAAGATTCTAGTAATATTGCATTAGTATTCCATTGCAATTCCATTAATATTCCAGTAATATCCCATTAATATTCCATCGCAATTCCATGAATCTTCCATCAATATTCGATTACATTCCCATGATATTCCATTATATCCCAATGATATTCTATTAACATCAGTGTAATGGAATATTCACATCCCCATGATATCCCCTATATCCCATACTATATCCCAATATAATAATATATTCCATGAACATGATATTAACATCCTCATTTTATAGCACCATGTTTGGTAAAATCCTTTGCCGGTCTCAGGTGAAGGTGAAGGAATGGGAGGAGACGCGTGAGGAGCAGAAGCGCCGTATCCTGGAAGGCCCAGGGTCTTCCTGAAATGGGGGTACCCCAATAGCTGGATGGTTTGTACTGCTATGGAAATCTATGGGTTTCTTGTTCGGAAATGATCCCCTTTTGTGGATTTTCCATAGCAATGTTAGTTTACTGGGTGGTAATTCCATTATACAATCACCATTATATAATCATCATTAATCACCATTAATCACCATTAATCTCCACTAATCACCATTATTAATCCATGAACATCCCATTTCTTTCATTTCTTTCGCCAGGCTTGGAAGAGGTCGAAGAGAAGAAGCCGGCCCCTGCCGAGGAGGCCCCTGAGGAGACCAAGGTGCGGCGCTGGTAGTCACTGAAGATATTTGTATCACTGGTGAGTAATGGTGATTAATAGCATTGTTCATCCATTTTCAGGATTTGTAACTTAAGTCACTTTGTCATGATTTTTAGTTGAGCGTTTATGTATTTTTGTATATTCAGTCAAGTATCATTGCTATTGTATTTATTGTTTTTTCTCGATAAGATTGGATCGTAGGGGGAGTTCACTAACCCCCCAAGTTGTTTCCATACTTAAACATGGGAAGATTATTTGGACAAAGCCAGTTTATGGCCATTGGAAGAAGAATTGGGCAAAAGATTTTCTCAACTTTAAAATTATTTTGGGGCAATTTAGTTTTAGGCAAAAGCAAATGTGGATGGCTCAAGATTCTCGGACTTGCAAGGTTAATGGTTAAGAATCTGATAATGACAAACCCCCAATTTTGAGTCCAACCCATGCGTGATTGAAATCATGAAGGTATAAGTCAGTATAAATGGTCAACACTCTCATGACATGTGAAGCATGGATGTCTTAAACCAATAGTGTCAGTTTCTACAATACGTTTCCACACCAGTGAAAAATGGGTCATTCTTTTGAAAAAGCAGTTTACTTTGGAAGTTCTGAAGCTGATGAACAACTGGATACTCTGTTTTGGGAATTTTGCATGATCATATCATCATATCCTTGTTGGGTCAGAGATGATCTCGGAACTCTCTGCGGCGACTCTTGGGGATCAACTCATGGCATGGGCCACATCAGGAAGAGGCGAAGGAAGAAGCCACGGAAGAGTGAGATTTTGATCCATCCAGTGTCAGGTGGTTAGATGTGTCTCAGACGGAGGGTGGTGGTCGTTTGAACCAAGCGACGTTACTAACAGATGTCACAGCGCTGGACCCCCTCGCACGTTGCCAAATCTTGAGGCGAAAAAAGGGCCCTTGGAAATGGGTGAAATGGAACGTTTGGGGAATCTAATCTATAACGGTATCCAAATTTGGATGCAGCATGATATTGGCATGTCCAGTGCTGTTGCATAGATTTGCCTGGTAAGATAACACAGAAGGGACATTTTCAATATTCAACTGCGGAATTCAAGACTCTGTTCTGGCAGGGACGAAAACGAAATAGTGAGTTCTGCTTGCCATTTTCACTTTTGCACACAGCAGAGATACTGGCATATACTGGCCATCAGATTTGACAAGCCTCAAACACACGCGGTGCATTGGCCTAGGTGCCCTTGATTCCTGTTGTGCACGAATGCACATGGCTATCAACTATTGTGTACGCATTGAGGTGTGCATTGGCCGAACTTGTTCCAGAACATGCAACTGCCGCGTATTATTCTGTTGTAGATGTCGTAGGTGCTTGCAACTACAGCAAATGGCAGCAAGTTGGTAAATGCTCTGTGACATGCGGTCACGGTTTTGCGGATTTCCAAAGCTCTCCAGCTGATCCAAATGCTGCTTCTGCCAAGTCTTGCCCGGTTTTGGAGAGCGCAAGGCCTTGTGACGCAGGAAAGTGCCCTGTCCATTGCAAGGGCCAATGGTCTTCATGGGACACTCTATCAGATTCTCCTGCCTGAGAGTTTGGGAGGCCAGCCATGCTCTCAAGAGGGAGCTGTGGAGTCGGCAGCATGCACCGACGGAAGTTGCTCAATTGACTGTGAGGTGGGAACCTGGACAGCTGAACGGTGCACACGTCCCTGTGGAGGTGGTCAACAGGTATACCGCCCCGGCGTTGGAGATGTGGGAGAGTTGCAACACACAGGAGTTGCTCGGTGCACCTATCCCAAGATTTTGGCACTCAGAGATGCGGTCACCAATTTTTCAGCTGGAGAGCCTGTTCTGGATGTTGTGAAGTCTGAAGCGGAGGGCTTCAGGAGTTTGGCAAAGACCTCACATGCAGATGATGTGCAAGGAAAAGAATGGGGCACCTTTGTCGATGAGGTGAGGGTTCTGTCACGAGATTTCAGGGCAAGAAACAGCTTTACCAAGGGCTCGCAAAGTTCATGGCACTTTCAAAGCACCTGATGAACTTGAGTCGCTCTTCCAAGAATTTCTTGCCAGAGACTGGATCATGGCCCGTCGTAGGTTTACCAGGTTTGCAATCAAGTTTGCAAAAGTTGCTCAAATGATTGAAGAGGCTCATCGTTCCTTCATGGCAATGGAGAAACGTGCAGAGACATACCGTGAGAAGGCAGTGGATCAGCAAGAGACTTTTCAGGACATTGCCGCCGATGTCTACGCTCTCGGGGATGCCAACCGCGAAGCACAACGTCGTGTGGAAGAGTTGATCCATGACATCGCTTCAGCTTTCAAAACCGTTGTGGCTTATTTGGAACCTATGATGAAATGAGGCTGACTTGTCATGATGCCTCCGCACTTCTCCACCTGCAGGGATTTTGGAGTCAAGGCTGAGTCGGCCACACAGAACAGACTCCCCTCTCGTGGTTGCAGGTTTTAAATTCCACAGATGCGGCTGGTTTTAAAAGAAAAGGCCACTTGCTTATCATGAAAGCTAGCGGTAGCTAGCTGGAGTTACTCTTGCTTCAGCAAGGGGAGGGGCAGGTCTGAGTCCAACACAGTGATTTTTCACTCAACCCCCCCAAGCTCCCGGGGTATTTTGAAGCAGTGTTGGAAGCAGATGGTCATGGGCTCAAATCGCAGGATTTGAGCCCATGACCAACTGCTTCGTTGCTGCAAAGATTGGTAGCATTCAGCCGGAGCTTGAAGAAACGGAAGTGATTCTAGCAGAGTTGGAAGGTATGTTGGATGCCAACCTCGAAGCACAACGTCGTGTGGAAGAGTTGATCCATGACATCGCTTCAGCTTTCAAAACCATTGTGGCTTATTTGGAACCTATGATGAAATGAGGCTGACTTGTCATGATGCCTCCGCACTTCTCCACCTGCAGGGATTTTGGAGTCAAGGCTGAGTCGGCCACACAGAACAGACTCCCCTCTCGTGGTTGCAGGTTTTAAATTCCACAGATGCGGCTGGTTTCAAAAGAAAAGGCCACTTGCTTATCATGAAAGCTAGCGGTAGCTAGCTGGAGTTACTCTTGCTTCAGCAAGGGGAGGGGCAGGTCTGAGTCCAACACAGTGATTTTTCACTCAACCCCCCCAAGCTCCCGGTGTATTTTGAAGCAGTGTTGGAAGCAGATGGTCACGGGCTCAAATCCTGCCAGGTCTGAAGGCAATTTGTATTCAGCATATCCAAATCCCATCAAAATGCCCTCATGTTTCCAGGCTCATATGAACCTTAGCTTTCGTTCCCCCCCTCCCTTGGGCCTTAAGTTTACCAAATTGTAAATGCCAATTCGGTCAACCTTTCACTTGGCTCTGTTTACTAAATCCCATTCTGCCGCTTTGCAATTCTTGTCTTCAGACATAGAGTCAGATACAAACCTCTAAAAGCCTCATTCCTGAGCGCTATCAATGGCACAGATGCCAAGAAGTATTTAGTGTTATGTCAGACTTGTTTTTCCATTAAACGTATTCTTCCATATTATTCCTTATTTCAGTATGGATTTGTTCTCCTGGCTGGACGGATGCATTGCTTCTTTTGCTGATCCTAGTGGCTCATGCAGTGTTTCAACAGTTGCCCACAGACTGGAACATGGAAACTGCAGTCGTGACCTCATGATCTAAGAGGTAAAAAAGGCGACAACATTCAGCCCACTTAGAAGTTAGGGTCCGCATTGTACAACACTCACTTGCATTATATTCAGTACATGTCCACCGTAGTCAGGATTGGCACATGGTTTCGAAGATGCAGCCAACAAGATACTTGCCAATTGGGGAATTGATTTTGCCCTCAGAATGGAACATTGAAGAGCTTAAAGTCCTGATAGCAACGCTTTCCAGGGGGAGCACGTGCTTCTGCCTGCATCCGCGATTCGCGACCCGCTGGCCTTGATCCGCGCTCCGCGTTTTTTGATGCTACTTCGCAGAACTGGGGAGATGACCACCCCCACACTCCCGCGAGTGACGTTTAAACTGGCCGGGGGACTTGGTGGAAAGGGAAGTGGAGAACCGCTCGGTCACACCGAAAGGTGTTCAAAGCTGCAACGATGGACGTTGAATTTGTTGAATTGAAGGTTTGAAGTGTCGGCAGTCTTTGAACTTGGAATAGTGAAGAAGTCTCGATTCAGTTAGGTGATTTATCTTAATTTGGTGAGGTTGTGACCAGTGTTCACTGCTGCAGGACCCTTCGTCTCCTTGCAGTGATGCGACTGGAAGGCTTGGGGGGTGCTGGCATGGCTTTGGTGGGCCAAGAGATCAGTCATTGGTTGAATGATTAGAGATTCAACATGTTGTGTTATGTTTTTGACATATCACCAGTCATTTCTATTTGGGGTTACAAAACGATTTGGCACCCCAATCCCCTATCATTCCATGGAAAGATGCCCCGAGGTCGCGGAGGGCCGGCTCTATGGATGAACAAAGGTGGGACTCAGTCGGACTAGCGTGGATTTTAAGGCTTTCACGGTATAGCTCCAACAAAAAAAACAGGTGTTGAACGGTGTTAATAACCATTTTGGTGGGGGAACATGATTAACCAACAGATTCAGAGCGCGCTGCAGGAAATTTGATGCGAAGGCGTTCATGCCGAAACGCGTCAATGCAGAGATTTCAAGGCTGCAGTGCCGGCAGTGCTGCATCTCCCCAACTATAGGGATATAATGTCATGTAGTTATCAACCAACGGCAATAGGGATATAACATGATATAACCAACTTACAACCAGCTATGATGTTGGTTGGATATAGTTTACAGTATGTTGGATCTCAAGGGGAGATGATTTTTAGACGATCCAAATGGATCAGAAAACAAAAGCGTTTCAAAGTTCAATGACATTTGTACCAAGACGAAAGGTACTGAACTGCTGCTGAACTGGAGTCAGATTCACTGTGCCATCTCTGGTCTTGTGAGTCTTGTGCCTTTCAAACTGCGGGGATTTTTTAGGCGTTACGACATCGACAAGAATGAGATCGGATCTGGTGGCTATGGTAAGGTGTGGCGCTGAGCAACTGAGCCCCAATATATATATATATATATACCCGATTCGAAATGTCATAAATTGAAAGCAATCCAGTATACCATGATATACCATGTATATACCATGATATACCATGTATACCCTGATCCATTCATCGAAACAGAAGAACCACATCGGAGGTATGATTTCCATTGATTTCCCTGCAGCCAAGGTCTTCATTGGCCGCGACAGGAACATGAGGGACAGACTTGTAGCCATCAAGAAGGTGATCATCTTTGAAGACGCCAAGAAAAAGGCGTTTTTGCAGGAGGCCCAAATCATGAAGGACAGAGTGTCACCGTGAGTCACCGTCACCGTCACGTCAGCGTGAGATTTTTTGCACCTCTTCGCTGTTGAAGATGCTCGTCCCAGTGCAGGATTTGGACCATCCCAATATCTGTAAGCTCTTGGAGACCTACGAACAGGGCCGTGCCTTGGAGATATGGAGTTTGGTATGGCTGGTGTGTTGGCCAACATTATTTTTGTTTGCGTTTTTTTCAATCCATTGCTAGCTGGGATGATGATCCAAATGACCATTATGATATATGATATATATATATATGATATAATAGTAATATACGATATATGATATGATATGATACACATTGATATAAACTGAAATAAAATGGTACCACAACAAAATCTAACATAATCTAACATAATTTAATGACACATCATATAATATAACATAAGATACTATGATAGAATGTAATGTAATATGGTATAATAAAAATAATACAATAAAATACAACATACTATAATTATAATATACTATGATATACTATAAAATACTACAATATACGATAATATATATAGTATACTTTAATATACTATAATATACTATGATATACTATGGTATACTAATAGTATAATATAGTAAAAGACAATATAATATAATGTAGTATAATATAATATGATGTAACATCATGTGATATAATATAATATAAGATGCAAATTGTGAAGCCACCCTAATATGTAAGACACATATGGCATTTTTGATGGAGGTTTGAAGGTCGCGCTGGCGCCCTGCGAACCTGACCTGAGGTTTTATGTTCTTCGTAATGGAGCGGTAACCTCAGTTCTCGATTGTGGGTTTAACCGCAGTGCCAAGTCATAGCATTTGGGGATTTTGTGCATTCTGGAAAAACTTTTGTTTACTACGTCAATTTTAGAGATGTGGCCTTTTGTCCCGTGTTTTTTGGATTGGGAATTGTATTTATCATCTTTTTTTACCAGATTGATTTTGCCTCTCCTCAGGGCTTATCAATCATGGGACCCACTATGAACCCAGGTTCTGTGAGGGTCGAGAGGTCTTCGACCGCATTATGGAGCCCGGGTTTCCCGGGAGGTGGACGTGGATGGGTCTGGGTGTCTGGAATGGAGACCCTTGAAAAAAGGCGCAATTTCACATTATTTGAATACGGGAAAATGATAGAAAATGATGATAAACCAGATGAAGCGCACAATTTTCTGACAAGCCCATGTATGGCAACTTCGGGATTTTTCGAGCGGGAAACATTTTTTTTCGGTGGGTCGAAATTTAAGACCCAGGGAATTGCAGATTAACCATGGTTAATGGTTGGTTAGTGGATGGTTAACCATGTTTATTTCTTAGTATTAAACATCCAATTTTTTGGGCCAATTTTGACCTACACTATGGCTATTTTGTCATACCAATTTTTTTTAATGGTGAAGGGTATCACAATGATTACCCATATCTGGGACTGCCAGTTTCCTTGCTTCCGAAAAAATTGAAATTTTCGACACATAGCGACCTGGATCCCTGCTGGTGGACTGTTTTTCGGTTTATTGGAACAGTGGCCACAAACCCCCATGATGGGTGCTTGGTTTATTTATGGGTTTAATTTAATACAATTCAAAAGAGATACCCATATAATATGTTGACTATAGAAAGGTGAAACATTCTACTTGATTTTATTAATATACCATGAGCTACTATTATTGCAACTATGTCAACGTCGTCATCATCATCATCATCATCCTCATCCTCATCCTCATCCTCATCCTCATCATCATTATCCTCATCCTCATCCTCATCATCCTGATCATCCTGATCATCCTGATCATCCTGATCATCCTGATCATCCTGATCATCCTGATCATCCTGATCATCCTGATCATCCTGATCATCCTCATCATCATCCTCCTCATCATCATCATCATCATCCTTCATGTACATCGACAGTTTTCACCAGGTCACCAGGGCATTCACTTGCTTCCAGCTCGCATCGGCTAAGGCAAGGGCTCATCCAGGAGTCGACCACTGCAGAGATTGTGCGGCAGTCGGCCAGTGCACTGCTGTGCTTCGGCGAGAAAAAACGGGGATTCATGGGGATTAATGGGGTTCAATGATTGGGAATATGAGTCATCATTTGATTAACACTCCTAATCGCTTAGGATTTTATTTTTTGAGATGGTTATGGGAAAAAATTGGGATTCATGGGCATTAATGAAGATTAATGGGGGGCAATGGTTGGGAAAACATGGCTGATGATAATGGAATCAATTGGGAATTTTTTGGTTGTGAGATGAAACTGTAGCCACAACGGGGCTTCCCATGGATTCAATCAACAGACATCGGGATAACAACCTGATGGGTTTCATTGGGGGATTTACTTCCTGAAACAGCCACGGAAGTGGAATTGCCCAGCCGCCTGTGAGGTACGCGCACAACCGTGGCATTGCACATCGCGACATGAAACCTGAAAACATTTGTTCGACTTGGCACGCTTGATCCCTGCATATCCCTGCTTTTTCCAGATGAAACAATGAACCAGTTGGCAACTTTGGGTTTGTCTGCAAATGGGGATTTGCATTATTTTTTGCAATTTTTGTGGGGAAAATATGGCAAGATGATATTCGCAACCATGGGATGGGGGTTGGTGGGCTCAACTTTCTCATCTGTGGTGCTGTGCTGTGAGCCAGGTTTTTGCAGTAAAGATGTGACCAACAACCATGTGAAGGTTGGGCTGGGAGTGCCATTTTGGTAGCCAATTATCGTTATTTTGGGCCGAACATCGCAATTAAGCAACCAAAAATGTTAATCAAGGTCATGCCACGCCTTGCAAATGGGTATGGCAAGTCTCCACACAGCAACCAGCAACCAGCTGTCAGGGCAGATACTTGAGGCATCTGCTGACCAGTTGCAGGCTCTAACTAATTTAATGATGCCGGTGGATTTTGGATTTTCCGCTTCAGGTACCTGCACTGGCAAATTATGATATCATTTAAGTACAAAAAAACAAATAAGTACATATGTACTTGTTACTTGTATATGTTTGTGCAAAAATGGGGTACATGCCAAACTTGCCATTTTAAATCCATCAGAATTTGGGTACGCCATTTTCAGAGTAAACTAAACGGGAATGGTTGAAAATTATTGATCACCATTTTGGGATATATATATATGTATATATATATATATATTTGTGAAATGCCTTCAGCCTACTTCTAAAGAATTTTGAACAAAAAAAAAAAGCGAAAACCAATCCAAAAAAAAAAGCAAAACCCAATCCAAACCTCAATTAGAAAAAAGCAAAAAAAATGCAAAACCAAAAGCAAAAAAAAGCAAACTATTTGTTTTCACTTTTTTTTTTCGTTTTTTTTTGCTTTGTTTTTGTTTTTTTTTGCTTTGCTTTTGCTTTTTTTTTTCCGCCTTTGTTTTCGCATTTTTTTTCGTTTTTTTTCTTTCTCAGGTGACCTGATGACCGGGAGCTTCGAAAATGTAAGAAACTCGTGGAAAAAAACGAAAAAAATGCGGAAAAAATGCGAAAAACAAAGCGAAAAAAAAAAGCGGAAAAAAAGCGAACAAAAAGCGAAAAAAAAGCGAAACAAAAGCGAAAACAAAGCGAAAAAAAAGCGAAAAACCGTGAACACAAATAGTTTGTTTTTTTTTGCATTTTTGTTGCTTTTTTTTGCTTTTGGTTTTGCTTTTTTTTTTTTTCTGATTGAGGTTTGGATTGGAGTTTGCTTTTTTTTTTTGGGCATTTTTTTTGCTTTTTTCTAATTGAGGTTTGGATTGGGTTTTGTTTTTTTTTTGGATTGTTTTTCGCTTTTTTTAGTTCAATTTATTTTTCTATCGTTTATTTTATATTTTAAGCCGTGTCACAAATATATATAATCATGTGTGACTGCAACAGCAGTCCCACTCGCAGCTTCCAATAGATCAAAGTAGATCTCACCTGAAATGGTTTCCCAACCTATTGTTCAACCAAAAGTCCAAGGTGTCCACACCTTTCCAAATGAAATAGGGTCCACCCCTTTCAGCAACCACCAAAATGGCGTCCGCGCTATTTTCCCACGAGTTCCTCAAATGTGGCCTTGAGCCAACGTTGATCGGCAGCCGCAAATGGTGGTGACTCTGCCCCATGTTATGACATGGAACAATCGAAGGACCTGACACAGTAAGAAGACACTTCGGAAATCACACTGGTCAAACTTTTAAATTCGATTGTTTATCCATGTGACCCCGTATTTCCTATTTGAGTTCTGCTTCAAAGTTAGATCTTCATCATAGATCCTAAATTTCCCCAGGCTTAAAAAAGTTCTGAGAAACGTTACATCCATGGGCTTGGTCAAGCAGTCTGCCAACATAATTGCAGTGGAAACCCATCTACATACCGTGTGATCCTGTGACTGTTGTTTCAACAGCATGACCTCGATGGTCGTTTGCCATTCCTGGCAATTAGGCGTGGCGTTCTTTGTTGCGAGGTCATATAAAGACTTGCAGTCAGTGATCATGAGTCCTGGGTGTTCTCTAAGCAAAGCTGTTTCAGGTGCATGCCACTTGAAGCTTGGATTCTTGATAAAACCCCACATACACCTAATCCAAGTTAATTTGTCCAGGGAGGTCGACATGGCATACGCCTCAGCGCTTAAAGTGGAGCGGACAACCCTGCCTATCTATTTCGAGTGCCATACTATGGGAGAGAACTCTGTAGTTTCATTCACAGCAAGTTTGGGGGAACAAGACATGATGAACAACCCTTGTTGAGCTGTAAGTTGTTTTGCAGAAGCAAAACTGGCATCTCCGAAGCTGGCAAAACTCACATCGGCAAGCGGTATGGGGCGGACAGTCACAGAGGTTTCGGCATGTGACTGTGCCTCTCTCAAAACTCGGTTTCCTTCAAGCAAAGTCTCTACGGCTTTGGGAATCCCTTTTTGTAAACAGGCTACCGTGGCAATGTCCGGTCTTGAGTGGACTGCAGCGTATTGTAAGCTGCCGCACAAACCCCTGAGTTGGTGTAGTTCTAGGTCAGTAATTGGGCTTTCAGGAGTAGCCCTTCTTATTTTGGGAATATTTATGGGGTTTATCTTATGGACATACCTGCTCTGGTTAACCCTTATTGAGTGGTCTGGGAGTTGTTCTATATCCAGTCCTGTGAACTTGAATTTTCTAAACTCCCGAGTTCCGAAAGGCAGCGTCTTCTGAAGCTGTTCCAGAGCCTTTTCAAAGTTTTGGTTGCCGCCACCAATACCATCGTCTACGTGTGTTCCCAGAATACCATCCAGCTGTTGTGGATTATTCTTGTTCCTAAGAAGAAAAAGGCAACTGTCCAGTGGGTGGGCTGTGAATCCAACATTTTCCAACCTCTTACGGAACTCCTTGTAGAAGAGCAGTGGAGCATCAACTCGGCCATAAGCGTTACCCTTGAGGAGACAAACATGTTCGGGGCCCATACCCATTAAGTCTCTTAGTTCACGGGGTGCTTCCATGGCTAATTCTCTGTCATCTGATTTTCCACGTAAGAAGGCTGTTGTTATGTCGAAACTTTGTACTGTCCATTTCATACTGGAAACAGTTTGAAGAAGCAACATCCTAGAATCTCTAGTCATAGTTGGGCTATCGGAATTTAGAGAGTCTATATCGGGATCTTGGAATCCCTTGACAACCAGTCGGGCTTTTGCCTTGCGACCGTTGGGACTGCTACTATCTTCTTTCCAAGTTAAAATCCATCTGGGACATAATTCTGGATGGGTGGATTCGTTCTCTCATGATTGCCTTGACGGTATCTGTATCCAACCAACATTTCAACTCCTTTTGTTTTGCTTTGGCAAATTGTTCCTTTTCTTGGGGAGTTAAATCATTGTACACCACGTCGGCACGAGATTTCTTGGCAGCTGCTACAAGACAAGGAAAGTGTTCCTCAGGCCGTTTGAGGAATCTGCACATCTGCTGTCGGGGCATTTCAAAAGCAAAGGAAACGCAGGCTTGTTTATAGGCATCTTTATGGGACCATATGGTTTCTTCATCTTCTAAGTTTATATCACTATGATTCCCATTTTCAACCATGGTAACATTATAGACGGGCTCCATATCGTTACCTTCTTCTTCATGATCAGTATCCAAAGATGCTGTCGATGGGCCATTGTTTTCCGATTGCATGTCCTGATCTTCAGCAGGCTCTTCATGAGCGGCAGAAACAGGGGAGTCAGGCACGGGCGTTTCTCTGGCGGTTGCAAACTGTTCGGCAACCCTTTTCAAATCAAGTGAGGTGTGTCGCACTGGTTCTTCTTCTGGTTGATTCGTTTGTTGAGATCCATGAGAGGGAGATTCTATGGTATCCTCTGTTGTTTCTTCTGTGGGTATCTGACTAAGGTCAGCATATTGAAACAAACCACTTCGTGACTTGAGTTGTTCTTGTAACCTTTTGGCCATTTGTTGGAGTTGTTCTTGAGATGAAGTTTGATTGAAGGTTGCATGACTCTGGAATTCCCTCATGGAGACTGGTCTGATATTTTCTTTTGCACATCGCAACAACCGATTCATGTGGTTGATCCATATGATCGTCCTAGATTCTTGGCAGATGACTTGTGCGGGACCGCACCATCGACCCTTCTCTAGTACATTAGGTGACTTTCTCTTGTCCCAGTACATGCAAAGCTGACCATATGACCAGTGATGGACCATTCCTCGGGATTGATGGTGCATGGCGCGCCTCAAAGCATCGCTGTTGTCATCTCGTGCACCGGCTGAAAGATGTTGCAAAGCTCTGGACTCTGACATGTGTCGCGCAAGTTTCTCGGCGGTCGGATGGCCAAGATTTTTGTGCAGTTTCTGGATCACACCTTTCTCTCGTTCACTCAGGCTGAGAAACTTTGGACCAGATACTGTAGCTGTCATAGGAGTCCAGGTCGGAACATCTACTGGTACGGATGTCTCTCGGGGCATAACATCCCTTTTAGGAGAGGCAATGGCAGTACTCTTGGGCAACGACGAAAGTTCATCTTCTGGTGTCGGAGGTGGCATCTGGTTTCCATAAAAAATACAAAGCCTGATGTGGCTGGGCACTGCCTTTCGGCTTTGTTGGGCTCTGGACAGGCTGGACCACTCTTCATTCCCTAAGTCTTCGATTTTATGGCTCATTCGTCTCATGACTATTGTATGTCTCATGGGAAACTCCTGGTGCCACGCATGTTCACCAGTGATGTAACGATCTAACCCCTTTCCTGCCTTGATGGCACCGATGGTGTGCCCGGGAACTTTGGATTGGATGGCTCTAAACGTCGCATGCATGGGACTGGTCGATGTTTTCACTCCCGACTTTGGAAGTTCTGCTTTCAAGTTCTGAAACACATCAGTCCATGGGTGATCCGCATCTGCCATTGGTGTGTCTTCCATGTCTTCAAGTTCTAGTTTTGCCTTCTTTTTGGGGGGTTCTACAACATCTTCTTCAACATGATATATGGGCTTTTCTATAGGAAGATCCTTAGTTTGTATTATCCCTTTTACTATTGCTTTGGCAAAGGCCCGTGGATAAAAGCTTGCAAACTTGGATACCTGGATGGACATGTCGTGAACCCTGCATCGGCCAGCTATCTGACTGTGCTCATGGCTGTGATCACAAATTCTTTGATCAAGTTCTTGAAACACTGCTCGGGAGGTCGTTTGGACCCTTGTCTTTTTCTGCATGGCGTTTGCCGTCTCGGGATGACGGAGGCCAAACATACACTGGTCAAGGCATGCGGCGATGGAGGCTTGCACAAACTCACGAATCTCTTCTTGGCTCCAAAGTTCGGATGTCCAAGGGTTCTCCATATGAACATGACGGTCTTCGTTAATCTGAATCTTGGCTATCAGCTGACAAAACTTCAGATGGACTCTGGCTGCTTTACGTTGGTCTTGGACATTCTGAAAACTTTGAAGACTGCGTTGTGAGTTAAACCGACTCCACGCACACCATGGACCACACTCTGGAGAAAGCCACACATGTTTTGGCCTATACAAAACAATCCATGACAACAGTTCCAACTGTCCGGCTTTTGTGGAGAGGCCCCCATTTTCCATTGTGAAGCGACGTGCATGCAAACCACTTGCTTGGGCAATCTCTGTCAACTGGCTTTTGGGATAAGCGTAGACTTCTAACAGGTCTAATTGTTTACCCTTATTACCTCCCTTGTTTACCAGCTTACACATTTCTTAAGCCATGCAGCTCCATCTACGTTCTTAACATGACATGGGGACCTGACATGATAGGCCATGGCAGTTCGGCTTTCTGGGATCGGCTGCCACTCATTCACGGGTGCACGTTCTGCATCGCCACGTTCTCCAAACGGCGTCTGGTGATGGCGTAGTTTGCGAAATCTTCGATGTCCTCGTGAAGATTCCCCACTCGTGCCAGCACCCATTTCACGTATCCCACGTCCTTCTCGTAGACGTCCACGTACACCTGCCCCTTGTTCTTCTTGCCCCATGTCACGACCTTCTGTCCCCAGCTTTCGAGGGCGGTCTGTGTGAGGGCTACTTGGTTGGCTTCCACTTCGATTTGGGCTTGATGGGAACTTGGACGTGCTGCTGCTGGCTGGGACCCACTGATGGGCATGCCGGCAATCCGTGTCACTCGATGATGCTGAGTGATCGTTGGAGGATTCGTTGGCTGGTTCAAAGATCTCGGTGGGGAAGTGCTTGGCCCCCGAGCACGTGAACTCTTTGGGAGTTCTGGCGGGGCAAGGTCTTGCATGATCTCTTCCATCTCGGCGACTTCCCACGAGGCACCACTCACTGTCTCCGTTCCAGTTGGGCTTGGAGCTCTCTTTCCCGTGGATCGATTGAATTGGCTCGAGATGATGTTGCTCAACTCCATGATCTTGTTGCGCTGGTTCTTCACCTCTTGGATCAACTGCTGAATCGGATGCATCTCCTGTTCTGACACCGGCTCCTGTGGTTGATTGGCTGATGTCATGGAAAACAGCAGGCGAAGGCTGGCTAACACTTCCTCCGAAAGGGATCGGAGTGCTTCCAACACATCTTGACGCGTCGGCATGATTTAGTGAGGGGATCGTTGTTCAGACCCGGAGGAGCGGTCAACACAAGGCTTGAGGCAGTCAATGCGGCTTCATTGTTTTCTTCTGGCACTTGACACAAATCAGACATGTCTATCACAAACAGACCATTGGCGTTCTCACGTAGTGGCAAGGACCTGTTGAGGGTCTTCAGAAAACAGGTATTGCTAGACAGATCCAATGTCGCTCCCAGGCTTTTCATGGTCTTGATTGAAAGTAAGAAGGGAGTACCCTTGGGAACCACCTCTATGAGAAGCCAAATACGGTGTTTTCCATACATGAGAGGAATCTGCAATTGTTTGAAACTGTAGGCAATATGGTTGTTCCCAAAACGAAAACCCACGTTGCTTGGTTTTTCTTTCACCATCTCACGGATCTTTGAGGGCAATTTTTGCAGGACTGCGGGAACGTTGTCACTACCTATGACACTTCTGCTGGCTCCAGTGTCTATGATTGCCAGGCCAGTTCCATTTTGGGATCTTCGATCCAGCTGACTCATCAGACAGGTGGCATCACTGGGCCCTCTCTGCAAATGGCCCATGTTGGTCGATCGATGGCTCTTCCTGAGCATCATGTCTTTGGCTGCTTGGAAGTCATACTTCTGTTTGTATCCCCTTTTATTGTTACCCTTTACCCCACGTTTATCTATCCCCATCTTATTAAACCTTGACGACTTGTGGAGGGACAGACGGTGGGACAAGAACTGGACGGCTTTGGCACGGATGTTCTCAGGAATACCAAGGTTTCCCTTGGACGGATGCTGGGAAAAATCCTGTACATGAAAACATTCAGAAAACATTCTTAACACTTCCGGCCTCGTCCACCTCTTCAACGATCACCTGGGGCAGATCGGAATGTTGATCTCCATCATGTTGCACCACGTTGGCAGATTCACGTGCTTGGTCACGTCGGTTTGGGTACTCAGCTTTCCAATGCCCAAAAGCTCCGCACAACTTGCAGTGCGTTCGACTGATCCTGGAGAGCAGCTCCTCCTTTCCACCCTTTTGGCCCCCTTTTCGGCCTCCTCGGAAGCCTCCATGGTGGTCTTTCCCGTGACCCTTGGTTCGGCCCTTTGGTGGCCAAAATCCTCTTGACCTTCTGCGATCGCTGATACGGGCTCTGGCTTCCTGATAGGAGACCAAAGCGGACTGCAAGTCCGGGATGTCCTGCATCATGTCTTCTGAATCACGTTCGAATTGCTGTACAACAAGTGCATCGTCATCGCCCGATTGGGCTAAGATCTCAATCACTTCGGCCGTAAGGGCGTCCTCGTCCTCCACAACCACCTGATAGGTGCTTTGAGTGTTCATGTCATCGTCATTCGATGCTGCAACATCTTCAGACTCTGTGAAGTTCGTTGGGTAAATTTTCTTTTTCTGTTCTCCTGCACCAAGTAGGACACGTGTTGAGAGTGTTCTCATCGCTTTCTCCACCTCCTTCCAAGTCAGTTTTCCATCGACCATGGCCAACACACGTTTCTTGTCTTCATTGGTGAGGCATGACTGTCTCAGGAGTACGAAAGCTTGCATCTCTTTCAGAGTTGTTTTCTCACCTAGATCATCAAAAGCTGCCTGCATTCTCAAGGTGTAGCTGTGTGCTGCTTCATCGGGCTTTTGGACTACACGATACAGCGCCTTCTCGAACAACTCGAAAGTCTTGAGCTCAGACGTTTCTTCCCACGATGCCAGTGCCTCTAAGAGATAGGTCACCCCGGCCTCAGGGTTCACCAGCTTCACAGGGTCTAGTTGCCTCACTTGACTCCATGCGGTTCCTTTGCAAAGCATAGCCAAGCTGGGAGCTAAGTTCGCCTTCTCTTTCTCTGGAAACACTCCATGTAGGAAACGGGCCTTCTGCATGAATTCCCGAACGTCATCTGTGCTCGGGTCAAAACTCGGTAGCTGACTCCACAAGCTAGAGGATTTCTCATCACTCGAGCCAGTAGCCATGCTTTCCGTGCTTGGTAGCACGAGCCTCCTGGCTCCGCTACCAGTGTGACTGCAACAGCAGTCCCACTGGCAGCTTCCAATAGATCAAAGTAGATCTCGCCTGAAATGGTTTCCCAACCTATTGTTCAACCAAAAGTCCAAGGTGTCCACACCTTTCCAAATGAAATAGGGTCCACCCCTTTCAGCAACCACCAAAATGGCGTCCGCGCTATTTTCCCACGAGTTCCTCAAATGTGGCCTTGAGCCAACGTTGATCGGCAGCCGCAAATGGTGGTGACTCTGCCCCATGTTATGACATGGAACAATCGAAGGACCTGACACAGTAAGAAGACACTTCGGAAATCACAATCATGTATATATATATACATGCATATATGTAATGTAATGTAATGGAATGGAATTGAATGGGATGGAATGGAACGGAACGGAATGGAATGGAACACAACGCACTGCACTGCAGTGCATTGAACTACAATGCAATGCAATGCAAGGGAATGTAATGTAATGCAATGCAATGTTATGTCATGTCATGTTATGTATGTATATAAAATAAATAAATAAATACATAAATAAATAAATAGATAGATAGATAGATAGATAAATAGATAGATAAATAAATAGATATATACATGTCTGTTACATGTACAATAACATATATATATATACATTCGAAATCTGACTTAAGTACCTTAAGTGTCCATGGGTACCTCACTTTGAGTCGTGCGCGTACGCCTGCGCAGCTCATCGACTGGGGTCTCGGCTTCTACTTCGGGCAGGTTCGGGGTGTTCGGGGTGGGAGTGGTCCAATGCATCCCTGTAGATCCACCAAAATCATGGTTTTGAAGCACCAAAATCATCTATTTTGATGGGGAAAAATTTGGGAAACTTCCGCTTACTGTAGGACAAACCCAACCAGTGCCTAAGCGAAAAAAAGGGGGGTGTACACACTTTGAGACGTCGATTCGAGATCAGGTGTGAACCATGCATCACTTTGCTTTGGGATGGGTTGTTGTATCATGTTCTATCCATGATTCTGAGTGTCATCCTTTCAGCCTTCAGCTTGGACCAAACTTGCCAGGGGCGAATGAACTCTGCAGTTGGTAGCCTCACCTATGCTGCACCCGAGGTGAGACGGTGGGATGAACACACAGCGAAAACCAACCCAATTGTTGGTATGTACAGGGTGGCAGGGTGAAACTTGTAGACCAATGTCTATACATGTACACAAATACTTGGAAATAAATCGATGAATACACAGCGACACAAAACGGTGGCTTTGACGTCAACGACCCACACCATGTTGCGCGATGCGCAGGTCCTAGAAGCGAAAGAAAAGCAGGGCTATACCGCCGGAGCCTCGCACCTGCCAGATCGGTCCATCCGAGATATCCGAGATATCCGAGTCCACCCCCAAATATATACTCCCAGGTTTTGCTTTATTTTTTCTCCTTTTCTCCTATTGTTAGTGAATTACTTTGGGACCATACGCTCCGCAGTGATTTGCCGCTTGTTGCAGGATGCCAGCTACTGTTTGGTGGTGAATAATCCAGCTTTTGAGATTTCATCTTGGATGGCCTTAAACTTTAGGGCCCCAAAATCCACATGGTTTTTCTAAACATCGTATATTTTCCCACTATCGTATTTTAAATATTCCCACTATCTAAGGCGAATTTTTTTCACGTTGTATAAAAGAACATCGCCCCATTCTTTCAACTCTGGCGACCCCAAAGGCGGCCTGTGACCTTTGGAGTTTGGGGGTGGTGACCTATGCCCGGAGCTCAACGGAAGTCAAGCTGGTACCCGATGCCGCCTTGCCCTTTTAGGTACGAAGCTTTAAAGAAAGTCAACAAATGGTATGGAGATAAAATGAGATATATGCATGTATGTATGATTTTATGTATATATATATGTATATATATATATATGTATATATATATATACATATATATATGTATATATATATATATATATCATATATATATACACATCATTATATATATACATCATATATATAATATATATATATATATATACATCATATTATATATATATATAAATACATCATACATATATATATATTTACACATCATATATATATACATCATATATATATACACATCATATATATATATACACATACATCATATGTATATATATATATATATATATATATGCAAATGTATACAAGTACAAATGTATACAAGTACAAATGTACACAAGTACAAATGTATACAAGTACAAATGTATATGTACGTCTAGAATAGTGTATACTGTATACATCTCATTGTACTCTCTGCCTGTCCGGAAGATCCCACTTCGCAGGTCATGCTGTGCGGGAAACCACCCTTTTGGGGCAATTACAATGAGCAACTGCGCAGGTCGGGGGTCGGGGTGCACCAAGGTTCAACACCTCCAGCAGCTTTGCGTCGGGGTTTAAAAAACCGTTTAAAAGAAGTATTGAACGAATCTGAAATATCTGAATTTAATATAATTTATAAATATTTATAATATAATCTCATGTAAAAGTATCCTGGTCTTTTCCCTACAGCAGTTATACGCTCCAGTAAAACTCACGGAGTTATTGAAAATCTGCCATTACAGCAGGAATATCATTTCCGGGGAAACATATATTCCAACTATCAACCATGACTGGGGGCTGTCATAAATCATCCCAGTCACAAATCCAATTTCATTAACCTTGGGATGGTTTATGATAATTATCCCATAGTTATCACATAACTACCCCATAGTTATCTCATAGTTCTCCCATTCATATCCGAAATATCCCATCACAGAATTGGATGATGGGAAAATTTACAGGAAACCCCCTCATATTTGATGGTGAAAACCATGGTTTCCTGCAGATTCCCTTAAACCAATCCATTGAATCCCAGGATTCTCAAGGGTTTTCCAGCCCTGCCAGGATGAAGCGTGAGACCTTTCCCATGAGCGACAGTACTTGGCAGCAGATTTCCCGCCCGGCCAAGGCGCAGCGGCCCCGAGCCGGCTTTTAAAAAAGATAGCGACTATATCAATAGTACTATGGTTGAAAATTCGTATAATCAATGGTAAGATTTATGGTCAAAATCACCATTGGCCATTTCTTACATAGCTACAGTAAATATGGTACATGAACTACAAAAAGACCATTAAAATAATAGCTGTGTAAGAAATGACCGGCGGATTTTTTCAGGAGCTCATTCGGGGCCTCCTCCGAGCAGATCCGAAACAAAGGACGGGACATCGAGAGCGGCTAAACTGCGACCCGTTGCGAAACAGTTGGTGAATGGTTGGTGAATGCTGCAAGTTACCTGGGTTTATGGGACTTGTAACTGATGAGAACTGAGAAGACCGCATTTTTGCGGTGACAGGATGAAGTTGGAGGATGTCTTGCGGAATCCTTGGCTCAGGCGTGGTGATTCGCTCCTAGGTTGACGCGGGGTGGTGCACCTTTGTTTGGCTGATTTTTTTGTGCCACACATCAGAGATGGTTCAAGGATTTTCTGCGTATCTACGGTATGTTTCGTACGGAGTTTTTCACCATCCAAATTTTAGGAGTCTACGTCTATCATTTTGACTGATGCCGGCTCGTACTCAATTTATCCCACACACATTTTCTGCGCGCCTTGTTGTCCAGGCTGCAAGACTCCCACGCCGGCATGGACACTCGCATTGCCAGTCAGGCAGCATTTCGCAGCGTTGAGTCTCCAGGTTCAACACGTCATTCCGTTTCCATGAAACAGGAGGATATTGGCGGTTGGCCTTATTTTCCAGATTCGACAATCTTAAACTTACATCGTTATCATTCATTATCCATGCGTTTCATTGAACTTTTTACTTGGCGCTTGGCAGTGCTGTTTGACAGGTGTTGATGAATTTGCGCCAGCCAGATTCTCAGGAGAGATGTGTCAGCGTCATCTTTATGATGATTTAGAGTTTTGAATTGTCTTGAGGTTGTGAGAGACAATTAAATGCTTCCACAAGCTTTTGCTGCTTCAGGTTCAGTCGAACCTCCCAATTTTTCAGCATTTGCGTGGCCTCTGTCGTGAGCTCAGAAACTGACAAGTCTGGGTCCCATCACCCTGGCCTTACTGGATGGGTCCTAGTGGGTCCTAGTGGGTCCTAGTGGGTCCTAGTGGGTCCTAGTGGGTCCTAGTGGGTCATGTTTCCATCTAGAAATCTGCATATTGACCAAGATCCCTGCCGGGTTCAAGTGATGTTATCACCTCTTACCTCATTGCTTCATCTCCTGCGTCTAAAGTCCTGAAATCGCCCTGAAAATTATATAAACATATATAAACTTAGGCCGTTTCCAGCATTTTGTCCCAAAATCCAAGTGGATCATTTCGTGCATCTTCCGCCTTGAGCCGCCACAACCCCAGGTGGCGAGGCAGTTGGATCACCGAAGCCTCCGAGATGTACATAAGGTACGAATGGGATAGGAATGGGATAGGAATGGGATAGCCATTTTTTGGGGAGAAAAATTGTGGAGACCTTGTAATGATTGTAATGTTTGTTGCAAAAAAACGTGAAGCGCTGGTGGAATCGTCGTGAACTATAGATCTATGATAGATAAGTCGCGTACTCGATTGCGTTTCACGAGCTTTTCTGCCGTCGCCCTTCCAAGGTTTTTTCGGAGATGGACACAAATGGTGATGGAGTCCTAGAACTCCATGAGGCCTGGTGACCTATGACGACATGTGGTGACCTGTCATGGTCAGAAAGGGTAATCGTTGGAATGAAGGGTTGGTCATTCAAAGATAGAAACTGGAGCTGCTGTCAGTCTTGCAGGTTTCTTTCCTCTCTGGAGCCGTCTTGGGTTCATAGTCTCGTTTTTGGAGAGACAGATTAGATAGAGTAGTTTCTTGACATGGTGAATGTTTCCTGAGTTGTGCCATGATCGCTTTCTACACCGTGGCCACCTTCATCATCGTGATCCTTGACCTCGTTGAGGCCATCATTAGCACTTTGCACCTTGATGACACCCAGGCTTCGATCGTGTTTTTGACCGCCTCCTGGGTCTTTTACGCCCTCGTAGACAATGTCTCTGCAGAAATATCACGCACGAAGTGCCATTGGGCAATGGCCATTGATTGTGCATTGAAGTGCATGGCCTGTGTGGGGCAATGTGGCTTGTACATCCACTTCTGCAGCAAAGACTCAGGTGTGGATATTCCGCTGATCACCTTATGTGCAATTCAGGTCCTGCTGAAAGTCAGTAGCACCATTTGCCAGGCGTGCCACAAAGAGGATGTCAATCAGAAAGATGAACCAACGGAGTCCAAGGTTTTAGATTCCGCAGACTCCATTGTCATTGGCAAACCAGCTTGCATCGCCACCGATTGCTGGGAGTCTGAAGAGAGGAGGCTGCACCAAGAAGTGACTAGCATGGCAGTGAGTTGTGCTGAATCACCATGGCAGCCCTGGGCAAAGATGTTTCTGCGGGCAACCTTTGCAGCTTTGGGTGGTGTCTTGCTGATGCTTTTCCAAGAGGAGTCCCCTTTTCGTACCCAATGGTTCAAGATGATTTTTTGTGTGCATGCGTGGATGCCAATCTTCATTGTCCGCTGCTCGAGGCAGGATGAGAAAGTCGTGAGATGCTTATCCATTTGCCTGATTCTTGAAACTCTTGTGTACGGTGTCTTTGTATGGACTTTGTGTTGGATTTGGGGTCTGTCGGACCATTTGACCGAACAATTCGATCGCGCCTACACCTTGGCCATGATGATCATTACTGGCATCTTTTTGTGTTGGTGCTGCTGGTGCTCTTGTTGCTGTCTTGCAGTAGGCAGTGCACGCAGGGGAAGCATGGATAAAGTGGATGTGGCATACTTGTCATATGCGACGTGAGAACAATTCGATTCATGGATGATTTCCGTCCATATTTGCACCGCTTTTTCTGTCACAAACCCTCGCTTCAGCTAAGAAAAGAACATATCAGTAGATTTGTATTTTTGCCATGAAGGTTTTCCCTTGTTTGAATCCAACTTTGCAATGGTTTTCAAAGAGCTTTGGTAGTGCGTTGGTTTGCCGTGCTTGTAGCGGGGTGCACTTAGAGCAGTTGGTAGTGCGCGAAACAATCGTCTCTACTTGCCCGTGCTCCTTGGCCTGGTATGCAATATGCAGTCCAGCATGCAATTGAAACATGCCGTATGGCATGAGTCTAAAGCCCACAATATTTTTGGCAATGCGAACTTCGATTCATGGTGTCAAAAAATCCAGCGGGTATGCTTTGCTCCAATGCTTGGCTTGGCATTCCAAATTTCATGTGGCAATCGTGCAGGGCCCAGGGTCAGGTTTTGAGAGTGAGGATTTTTGGCATTTTGGTGTAACCAGTGTAACATGATCTAACAACGCAGGTTCCAGTGGACTTGCCAATGATGTCATGACTTCTGAGCTGCCCCTTTTTGCAGGTCCGGGAAGGCTTCCAGAAGTTCTTTGGCGACTTGGCGTGCATTTTCTCAGACATTGCGGGCTTTTACCAATATATTTGAGACTACATGCCATAAGGATCCATAAGGATCCATAAGGTGTTTGGGAGATAAACGCCTGCATCTCGTGTCTTTTTCGACAGACAATGGCCCCCTCCATATACACCAAAACGTTTTTTTTTCAGCAAGAGAACTCCTTTGAAACACACACACAATTTACATACATACATAGATACATACGTACGTACTACGTACGTACATACATACATACA